CTACTGCTAGGATATTCTTTATAGAGTTTTCAATTTGGCTTAAAATCGGGATTAGGAGTAGCAAGATACCTATCACCCCCCGCCCGCCCTCTAGGGTATAATTTTACCAATTAACGGTTGCATGTCTTTATGAGACAGCCTTGCCTCTGTTTGAAGAGAGCATCCAAGAATGATAACTGATTTCGTCCTTAAGAGTGTCGCTACCTGGAGAGAACTATTCACAAAAAACCAAGTTCTTCTATTTCATATGGAGGGATCAATCAAGATGCCGTGAGGCTTCTATGTTTAGTGATGGCATTCGGGGTACCTCATGCTCTTCAACCTGGAGGAGAGAGCCGGAGTTAGACTATGCTCAATGGAATTCACCATTTCTACTTGGCTACAACCAATGGAATGACAAGTGTCGATTTTATTTTTGTGAGAACCTTTACCTTCCTGCTTGATGCGGTTTTCAATCACCTGAATATGTAGGGGGAAATGCTGATGGTTGGCCTACAAAACATAAATGACACTTGTCATTCCATTGTTAGCAAGTAGAAATGGTGATCTCCTTGAGCATAGTAACAGTGCTCTTTCTCCAGGTTGAAGATGGAGGTACCCCCTGAATTGCCATCACTAAACAAGAACCACGGCATCTTGATTGATCCTCCATATGAATAAAGAACTTGGTTTTTGTGATAAGTTCTCTCAGGGTAGCAGCACTCTTAGGACGAATCACGTCTATCCATTCTTGGATGCTCTCTTCAAGACAGAGGAAGGCTGTCTCTAAAGACATGCAACTCCAAATGAAATTAACCTAGAGGGGGGGGGGGTGAATAGGGTATTTGCTACTCTAATCCGATTTAATGCCAAATTGAAACTTATAAAGAATATCCTAGCAAGTATGATATACACAAGTGATATATGCAAATATAAATAGTCAATAGGCGATATAAATATGCAAGCACAAGATAAAAGGAAATTATGCGCCGATGACAAACTCAAATGCAAACAAATGATCATGGAGTTCGGTCACCCTCAACCTACGTCTCCGCTCCTCATTCTCGAGGAGAATCTCCACTATCTCAACAGGTTTTCAATGTTCACCAAAAACGTTTACAACTCTTACAATTACAATCACACAACACACCCTCTAAGTACTGGCCTAGCTCGTGTCACCTTCCTCAAGTATTCGGAGTTACAACCTCTCTCTAGGCTTTACAATTTATGCCATTCCTCTTGGAATCGACTACGTCTCTCACCACACACTCCATTCGGTGTCTTTGTGTATTACAATGTGATCTCTCGAGAATTAGGCATAAATAAAAGAGTTTGTTCTCTAACAAGAATGAGAACGAAATTAAGCTCACACTCAATGAAACACTCACCACAACCCAAATTATACTTAATGTGAAATACTAAAAGCTCAATAGGTTGTGTGTGCAATCAATGAGTAAAATGAAAACTAAACTTGAATCAATCTAGCACAAATATATATGAATTAAAATATGAATAAGCTAGAAGATAAGTTTAGAAAAACTTCTCTATAAACAAAGAGGATTTGAGATTTGAAGATGAATGCCCAAGACCAAAATTGATCTCCTTCTCTTTGTGAAAAACTTCTTTATATAAACAAACCAAACTTTTGATCTTTTAAACTTGGAAATAAACTGTTCAAAACACTTGTAAAAACCCTTTAAAAACTCTACCAAAGAACCAAGGCAAGAGGGGTATATATAGATCCAAAAACGTAGCTCACAAAAACTAGCCGTTGGCTAGAAATACACTATCAGTTGACTGATAAAAAGGATAAGTCGACTGATAAACTAGCCGTTGGAACAGTGTTGGCAGATTCTGGAATTTTTGCATATCTGGCTTTCTAAAACCGATTACAAATAGTAAATAAACTCCAAAAATCGTGAAATTTTGAGAGATATTTCTAAACATGTGTATAGTCATGTTATAGAAATAATTTATGAAATATATCTTCTCATTTGTGAGAAATAACTATTTTAATATAGATATTCCATATTCTAAAAACTACTTAAATACTTGATTTTGTAAAATAAATTCAACAAAGTAAATCAACTCCAAAAATAGTAAAACTTTGAGAAATATTTATAAACATATAATAGAACATGTTAGAAAAGGAATTTCTCAATTTACATTTCTCATTTGTAAAAAATCATTTATTTTGTAAACTGTTCAAGGATACGAAAATGTTAAAACTTGATTTTGATGAATTCATTCCAAACAAGTTTTAAAATACTTTTTAATAGATTAATAGACTTGAGAAAAGATATAAAATAGTGTAATTAAGTCTTTAATCTATAAATACATTATTTTACAAATTTACAAAAATATGAAAACAATAAACATGATTTCATTGATTTGAATATGTCAAAGCTTGATTTTAATGAAATCATTTCAAGTACATATAAACATGAAACAAATAAGAGTGTATATAAGGATATTCATTTGTTTCATATTTATATGTATGATCTTAAAAGTAATAAAATAAAAATGATGTGTGTTGTGTAATATTTGATCTTTAAGCATAATCACACAAAGTATAAGATCTAAACTGGAAACAATATACCCAAGCTAAGAGATCTTCAATTAGGCTCGACTTGGTTACAGATGAAGTGATATTGGATCTTGATTTGAATTGCACATAGCTTCATTCCGATATCCGCCAACCTCCTTTGAATGTCATCGTTAAGCTCAATTCCAACCAACCTCCAACAAAGATCTTTATGTAGGATACATAACAAACAAATATAACACTCAACAAATATTGTTAGGAATTGTTTGTTAATAATCAAAACTAGATTAGATAGTAGGCTCATAAACATGGGACCTACCAATCTCCCCCTTTTTGTTGATGACAAACAATCTACACAAAGAGATATAGAATATGCATGATACCAAATGAATATGTAAATTATAATCATCATGCATAAAACCAAGTAAAATCAATGTATACTAACAATGTATTTATTTCTCCCCCTTTGTCAACATCAAAATGGGGGAAAACAATAAGAATAAGAGAGTGAAAGCTCCCCCAATTCAAAAAACATGAGTGAGTATAAAATAAATATAGGGAAAAAGATCCCCCTATTAAAATGCCTAAAAGCATATAACAAGAAAAATGAGGCGGTTGTATGCGAGCAAAAACATATATATAAAAACATGCTAATCTCAACTCACATACAAAGGGACCAAATGAACACATATGTATGTATTATTAAGAAAAAAATGTTATAAGGGTGTTAAAACATAAATATATCAATAAGATATATATCAACAACAAAAAATAGTCCATAAATGAAAATCAAAGATTCAATAATCAAAAGTCAAATACATCCAAAAATTTATAAATCATAAATTATGATTGATTGAGAACGCATATAGATATATTATTATGAAAATGGTGTTTCAATACACAAACATGAAAACGATATATAGATTTATATAAATCATGAGATTGAATGAATGAAAATCATGAAAATCATGAAAGCTAAAAATTATAAATCATGTAGGGATATCTTCAAATAAATCATGAAAACCATGAAAAAAATTGAAAACTCACATAAACATTCAAACATGAATCATGATTAAGAATTTTAAAAATTACAATAATATCAAAACAAACTTGCAAACTTTATTTTAAACTTTTAAAAGTGTTGAGGATAGAGGGGTGAATATAGATTCTTAAACAAAGTCCAAAACCTAAGAAAATCCCCCCAAAAACAACAAAAATCCCTAAAAATCAGAAAATCTGGAAACAGTGCCGTCGGTCGACTGATGAACAGTATTAGTCGACTGATGAGCTGACCGTTGGTGGCAGCTCAAACTTCATCAGTCGACTAATGACCTGCTTCGGTCGACTGATAGTTCATTAGTCAACTGAGCAGAGCTAAAGTGTAGTTTCCAGGTGATTTATTCGGTCGACTAATGATCCTCATCAGTCGACTGATAACGTGCACATGGTATATTATAAACAGTGAAAATAAATTTCAAACCCCTTTTAAAAAAATCAAATAAATTTCAAAAAATATAAAATTTGGGGAAATGATTATTCTGATGAAAATGAACTTTTTACAGAAGAAAATTTTCAAATCTCATTTCCCGTTTGTGAAAACTTATCATTTGGTAAAATCTCAAAAATACGAGTTCATTTAATACACTTGATTTTGACAAAATGATTTTATCCAAAATTTGGAATCCCTTTTAACAGATTAGTAGACTTTGGAAATGATGTAAATAGTATTTTTTTAGTCTATAATCTAAAAACATAAAATATGAAATAATACGTGTACAAAACAAAAAAATTGAAAACAAAAGAACAAAAAGAAAAGAATTTGTTTTTTTTAAATCAAACATGTATTGGTACCCTAACACTCTTGGTACCGAAAAGTTTAGGGACATGATCCCTATCAATATAGCTCAATGCACTTGGGTTATGACCCATTTGGGCATATTTAGTGCACGTATTCAATCATAGCAATAATTATGCAAATGACCCTTTCTATTGCAGTAGGTGCAATGGAATGAGTGCACTTGTTTATGTTGACCATTAACTTGTGCACGATAGACTTTTGCAAATAAGGATGGTCTTTCTAAATCATTTTGCAAATGTGAATTTTTTTAAATCAAAACAAAATTTGTCCAAATGACGAAATCTACCACAAACATTACACTTAAACACACTTACATGCTTACGATGAACATTGTGCGCATGTGTGTGATGAAGAAACTTTATGTGATGCACATGGAACAATAATATTAGTATTCTTTGGTTTATGTACATCATAGCAAAATTTTGCAAGATGGTCTTTACAACCGTAAGTAGAGCATTTGTAAACTTTGCTATACATGTGCGCATAGTGTGTAGGTGATTTTGACGTTGAAGCACTAGATTTAGCACATGTGACACCCCTGTTTTCACACATGGCTGCAGTCCAAGGTGAACCTAGAGATACTAAACCTGCCATGCACCCACACTGTGTAATAACATGTTTCACCAATCACAGTAATATCCTCTAGTGGAATCAAAAGAAGTGTAGGTACAAAACATGCAAAATAAAGAAATAAACATAATAGACATGATATGGAAAGAGATATCTCATAAATAAAAATGTAAAACCCTGAAAATTTATGATTTATTTTGATAAATACAGTTAAATGGTATGTGAGTAGTATACCATGTGTTTTGAGTATAAGCAAGTTCTTTCGTGAGGAAGGAAAGAGTCGAAACATGCACAACGACCAAAATCATGAGAACTAGAAATTGCCAGTCCGGTTGACCACCATGGTCGACCGCGAGACCTACAGAAAATTTTTCTCCTGTTTTGAGTTGGTTTCGGATTTCTAAAGCCCATATTTGTTTTCTCTAGTTTATATATCAAATTTTCACGAATTTCTCAGTTTCTCTAAGAACCCTAACAGCCACCAAACCCCCACAACCCTATTTTGATTCTTGGAGAATATTGGAGGCTTTCAAGTGGATTTTCGGGTGATTTTTAGCTTTTGGATTGGAGATATGCTTTGGCTTAACATCCTAAACGCTTTTCTACAAGTTTCAGGCGAGTTCATCTCTGTTAATCCCCCTCCTAGTTTTTAAAACATTTTTAAAGGGTTATTAACATGTTTATTAGAGCCAAATTGACTAGTTTATGAATAAAAGCCAATTCTTTTGTATTATATGTATAAAGACTAGGTCTTTCCATGTGAAAAGGTTTGAGAATGAATTTACAGTAGATATTTAAGATCTAAACATGATTTAAATGTTGT